ACCATCTTCAGGCATCAATTGGATAGTCTGACAATGCTTCTTAAAATAAAAGCAAAATGTTCCATATTTAATTGTTAGAGCTTTATGTGGCAAACTCCATACACTACATTTAGAAGCTAAATCCGCAAGAATTGAATAGTTCGCGTCAACAACACAAAATAATAGATTTTCTGTGAGTGTGATCACAAACTGTCAACGACAAAGCAAAACATCAAAATGCAGGTTACGTTCTTATCGTTGCGTTCCGGTGCATATTTGCTAGAGCAGTTTGGGAACGTCACACTCTGGGTGCATACATTCTCAAGTCAAAAGCACTGGAAAGCGGCTTAGGTTGACTAGACAAACATTTACAATAATTCGAGAAGGAGAAAGTATACCTGTAAATAACACAAAAGTTTCTATAAACATATAACTTAAAATGAATAATGACAAAACATTGATATTGTTAAAATAAACGTTATAGTGAGATAAACCTACTCTTTAATGAACAATAGTGGCAAAATTAAAATTCAAATCCCTATAAGTAGTCTAATCATATTAGCAAATTTCCCTGTAAAGTATTTTTATTCGATAACAAAAAAATGAGAAAACGTGTTTTTTGGGATACAATTGAAACTGTTGGCAGGAAAGAAAACTCTCCAAATACGATTTTTAGACATTTATGAGACCTACAGAGTGAGACCACAAGTAAAAAGATCTCACTAATAGTAAAAAAGTTATGGCCGAAAATCGAGGCAAAATGCAGGTTTTGGCACTGGTTGCTAATGCGACCATAATTTCATGTAGCTACTTGAAATTCTTCAAATTCATACTTCTAAATAACCACAACAAAATTGGAATCGATTAGTCAAGTAGTTTTTGAGAATTTCTAATAAAACACCTGTCTTCTGGCCATCACTACTACTTTATGTAGCAATATACAGGGTTCGTTCAAAGGGCATTTTATAGCAAAAATCAGAGATTTACCTTGCCGACATGAATCACAAGCCATTGCGAAAGGTAATTGTTATTTTTATGCGAAAAACGAAGATTACTTTTTTTTTCTCCTAAGAAAATTCAAACATTTCGTATTTGTGGGTAATTGAACGTATTCGTTACGATATTCGAAAAACATATTATCATACTCATTTTAAAACAAAGCGGATGAGTCGATCACCTTTTGTTTCGAAGAAAAAAAAAATGTTTTCAAGATTTGTGTATAGATATTTAGAGCTATCTTTACACCGTCACAGATGAGCCTCAAAGTTTATAAAAAAAATATTTCACACTGAAATGCTCTGAACTGTTTATAAAATTCGCACGCAAACTGAAGACACAATAATTATGCTTCAAACTGTCTTAGACTAGTTAGTAGGTAGCATGTGCTAAATGGCTGCATTATAGATGACTGCATGACCTTGTCCAATAAGTAGGTTACGTAATCTAGTTTCTTTACGAAGAAATATAATTTGTTAGACCTTTTTTCTAAAAGTATTAATATAGGGTAGTCTGTTTTCGAAATCTCGTTCAATTAAAACGACTGAGAAAATGAAAAAACAGTAGACAAATATCAACCAATTGTACCGAACTGGCCATCTTAAAAATTAGGCAAAATGCCTGGTGTTAGTCCCTAATACATTATTTAAAGTTTCAGCATTGTATCTTATATAGTTTTCAAGAGTATTCTAATTGTTTATAACAGATTTGATATGCCTCCAACATTTGTTAGTGTCAAGTATAGGGGTATAAAGATCAAGTAAACCAAAAGGCGTCATAGTGTAATGGAAAAGCATAACGACTGCAAAACCCCAGGACGGAGGTTCGAATCCACACAGCTCCATTTTTTCTATTATTTTTTTTTAATTTGAGCAAATAAATACTTTTTCACGTTATGTGTACTTTTATTGCGATATAACGTTTTTCTCACGTCATAGACAATGTAAGCTTGCAAACAGGAATACGTATTATTGTTTATATTTTGCTTATATTACTTTGATAGAATTTCAGAAACACTACACAGTCGGATCATAGCAGACAACTTTTGAAAACATTATCTTAGATGTGTAAATTATTAACCAACAATAATGAAAGACATCCGAAATTTTGGTTGTGATAATACGTTCAAGTTTTCGAAGAAGGTGCTTTGGTATAAGCCATTAGAGATACTCAAAAACTACTTAACCAATCGACTCCAATTTTGTTGTAGTTATTAAGAAGTATAAAGCGTACAGATGCGAAGAACTTCAAGTGTATGCTTGATATTATCGTCGCATTACCAAGTGCCAAAACCTGCATTTTGCATCGGTTTTCGACCATCACTTTTTTACTATTAGTGGGATCTTTTTACGTGTAGTCTCATCCTGTCGGTCTCATAGATACCTACCTAAAAATCTTATTTGAAGTGTGTTTTCGTTGGTGTCAACACTTGATGGAATCCCAAAAAACACGTTTTCTCATTCTTCGTTTTCAAATAAACAGTTTCCCACAAAAATTGGTGTACCTATTTTATGCGTCCATGTTTTAGATACTCCCTTGAACAACTTGCACTAATAAAGCCAGACTTTACAATTATTTCGCGGAACCAGAGGTATTTTCGTCTAAGACCACAAATAGCGTTTTAGACTTTTTTTAAGCCTTAATATTTATCAATAACGCGCATGTGCCACAGATGCCTCCTGCTAGCGTACGGAAGATATCGTAGCTCATAAAGGCGATATTAACAATAATTACGTCTTTGAAAAGTTTAAGTTATAAAACACTCTTCGGAAACTTGTAGGGCATGGTTGGATTTTCTATTCAGATACTTGCCAGTCTCAAAAATAAGATTTTTTAAAAGTGGGATGCTTTCAATAATACCATTTTTGGGGCATTTTAGTCTTCAAATCGCTTATAGCATGAAAACCACTAACTTCAGGTAAATGCTACTAACGACTTTTGTGTCCATGATCATAAAACAAAAACTAAGAAAACTTGAGTCAATGTTATTCCAAGCAAATGCTACTAATGGAAATGCAAAATTTTGATGTCTGAAATGTTTCTTTTTTATATTTTCAACATACACGTCACTAAAACATATGTCTGCGTTTAGTTATCTATTTTTCATAAAAGGCAGAAAGCAGGCTAATCCATGGAATGATTCAAATCTAAAAAGAAGGAGCCTGATTTGATTCGATACAATTTGTGATCCTCTTTAGAAGATTTTCCACGGATAGATTTTTGACTAAGGTATACGAATCGTTTGATTGGGCACGTTTCTCTTAGAGCCGTTTTACACACAAGAGAATTACTCCGAAAATTATGGTCATAATTATGCTGAAAATTTGCATGGAAAAAATATTGCAGATTTTCTCTACAACCTGTATGACACAAGCAAACAAAATTTCGGAGTAATTCATATGATACGCCTGCGCATTAGAGTTATATTTTCAAATGGACATAACCTTAACGGGTATGACGTCCAATATAATCGGAAAGACAACAGACGTCGATAATTTAAATTTATTTTTGAAATCGAGATCTTGGTTAATATTATAAAACTTCTCAATGCTTCACCTTGTACAGGTTTGGCCATTTTTGGTACTCCTCCAACAACATTGTAAATTCTTCCCGATTCCACATTATGAATAAACAATAACAATAAACGCTCCTTCGTACGACTCGAACAGGACCACTCCCACAAATGTTAAATGAGGTTATGTTGTTGTTGTTGTCGTTGACATTTGATATTGACATGCACGGAAATAACCCTCTGCGCCGACTCTCGCGCATATAATATAGAACGGGTTTTATATTTTTACCATGAAAATTTTCACAAGAATTCTTATACGTGTAATACGACAGCAAAAATTTTCGGCATAATTATGACCATAATTTTCGGAGTAATTCTCTTGTGTGTAAAACGGCTCTTAGACGTGATGTCATCACAATAAGTTTTCTAGTCGATATCGCAAGAAGAGTAAAACACAAAATATTATCTTTTGCGTAACAGAAACACAATACTTATGGTATAAAACTAGGCTACAGTACAAAGAGATTAAACATTAAAATGGTCGAAATTACCTAAATTTTGATTATAAATGTTTACTTCCGGTTTTGCACCAACGTTTTTCAAAAAGTACAAAAGATTAAACTTAGCACATAACATCACACTAAAAAAATCGAGACCTAGTAGATGTATGTCCAAATGAACGAATTTCAGAACCTGAGTTTTGGGCGCGCTTCACATGAAATGCCCCATAAACATTTTTCATAGTTTACTTCATTCTCCTTATTATAACCTTTCACTTCCACGCAATACAAATATTTTATGCACTTGGAATAGCTATTTCTCAATTGCACTGGAACTCCTAGGGTAGGGTGCCCCAAGTCTGCGCACTTAAGGTTTGATAAGCCGTAGAATCGTGAATCAATAACCTATTGTAATAATCTTAATTTCTATTTAGGCTCACATTAATGTACTTTGTTAATTTAAGTTTTATTCAAACATCTGATAACAATTTTGTTAGTAATTAAAAAAAAGACAAAGATGTAAATGCGCAGTCTTACCACTACGGGTCCCTGGATATTGCGCATTCAGATCGTTAAGATTGCGCATAGATAACAAAAACTTAAAAGTAGGAACTAAAACAGAATAAGGTATCTTAAGCGCATAAATCGCACTTAAACTGTCCAATGCCTACGTAGGCCGTACATTTTTCATGCCACCATTCAGAACAAACAGAACAACCGATCCAATCCTCTGTAATCCTCTCTTTATACTCCTCATTGCAGCCACCGCATGCCCATTTCTTTTTTTTAGGATATTTAGAAGGCTTTCTGCAAACTTTTTTCATTTTTTTCTCAGGAGTTTTCTTCAACTGATTCTCTACTAATAGCTGTTCTTTATATGAAGAACCACTAAGTATTTCAGATTTCTTATGTTTTCGCTTGTTTGCGGTCTTTCTTATACCTGATTTTGGTATAGGGCAAATATCTTGGAGTTTCACTTTGATTGCGGCCGATTCATTGCTGCAAGATGGTACCTGTGCAGGAACTTGGAAGATACCACCATTTTTTTCAGCTGGAGGACCGTCGAAGTTTTTCTTTTGCCCTGACTCAGAACTCACAACTGGTTCGGCTGGAGCTTCTGTTACTAGAGAAACATTCTCAATTGCTGTAAAAGCGTTCCTCGGAGTTGATGGTTTTTTTGGCTCCTTGTTGAAAACAGAAGCACGAGGCTCATTATCCATAACTGGTTCTCTCTGTTCATGGGGTGTTGCTTCTTGAGGATTCTCCTGTTGTGATTCTGAACATTGGTTATCACCCATTTCTCTTTCGGTCACAGCACTAGGAAGAAAATCTGCATCTGTGAAGATATCTGGATTGTATGGGTAGATTCCAGACACCTTGAAACATTCAGCAGCACAACCAACTGTAGCTGCTTTATTAAACGTCATCTGAAAAGCAGTTATAGCTCTGCCAGGGTGGTGTCTCATCCATTTTTCACATTCGCTCGCAAAATAAGTCTTCAACGCACTATGAAAACCTTTGTCTAGTGGTTGCATCTTGTGGCTGCTGTGTGGAGGTATGGTTAGAGCTATTATGTTATTCGCTCGATAAAAGTCTACAGCCCCTATTGTACAATGCGACACATGATTGTCAAGAACCAGAAGGATAGGGTGTTCTTTAGTTGGTCTTGTGTGATCTTTAAAGTAACCTAGCCAGTTTAAAAAAAGTTCACTATTAATATAACTTGTGTCTGAGACCATTCCAATAGACGCTGGTGGTGCGCCATCCAGCAATTCTGCTTTCATCCTTTTGCGACCGAATATGAAAGCGGCAGGAATGAAGTGTCCAGATGCACTCATAGCATTCACTACGGTTACGTTCGTTCCTCTTTCAGCGCTAGAAATCTTATTAACAGCGCGCTTTCCTTTTTTTGATATGACCCTTGGAGGATTGTTGGGTACGGTAGACAGACCAGTTTCATCCATATTATAAATGGAAGTTGGAGGAAACTTATACTTGTCCATCAATTCTGCTAGATTTTTGTAGAACCTTTCACATTGTGGCTTATTAAATCCCATCGCCCTAGCAATACTTGTGGAAGTTGGACATCTTAGTGAAAGATCTGGGTGCTGACTGAGAAATCCACGAAGCCAGTGTTTGCCTGCCATTTTCTTTTCGGCATTGAAACGATGAGGAATATTATTTTTCACCACAAACTCGTAAGCAGCAATCCTCAAATTCTTAGGAGTCATCCCTTGAAACATATTGTCAAGATCTTCCAAATAATTACAAAATTCCTGTTCAATTTCGGGAGAAAGAGTTGCATCATATCTACCAAGCTTTGTTGCAGCTTCTTTTCTCTTCAGGCGATACCGCAAAGTACTTTCTTTCATCCCGTACGACGATGCTACTTTTCTTTTGCTTTCACCATTTTCTATTCGTCTTCTAGCTTCCTCTAAAACATATTGAGGGCACAGCGAACGTTCCGACGACCTTTTTCTTTGATTAGGCATTCTGAAAATGAATATTTAAGGTTGTTATATCAAATTAAAAGTTATGGTAGGGTAAGTCTGCGCGCGTAGTGTTACGGACCGTGACTCTGCGCAGTCTTAGGGAATAGCCCAATATACAATTATGTGACTCCTAACGCCATCTATTGAAAATATCAAAAATTATATCGCTCGCCGGCTGTATAGGTTAAATCACGCAAACGAAAACACTGGTAAAATCTTTGATAGTACTTCAGGCTTTCATGTAATTACAGTTTGAAATTGAGAAACAATAACATCAGAATCGATATTTAACTTCAAACTTACCTTGCGACTAGGTTTTGATAGGTTTTTGGTTTGTTTTTTCTACAGCGCACTCACTCACGGCAACGGCCCAGAACACGAGAGAAGTTAGTCGACAATGTCATTTTGCTTTCGAAATATGGGAGCTGCGCAATCTTACCTCCTGCGCAAAGTTAGGGCACCCTACCCTAAGCCTCAGCTAAAAACGCGAACGGGTATAATGGACAGCGAGTGAGTGAATCCCAGTCTCCAATCACCAAAAACGGGGCGGAACCTCACGAAGTTGACAAATACGTTTTCTTGAGCTATTGGCAACGTTGCACTAAATAACTTTAATTACCCAGAAACACAGATTTAGGGAAACAGAAACATATCGCAACATCGCATGCATATATGTTATATAGAATTGGAATCGAAAGGAATAGATTCCGAGAGCGAAATTGGAATTGTGAACGAATCAAAGGAATGGAACTTGAGGCCCAAAATGAAACCATGGAATCGAATTATCAAAAGGAACAATTGGGTGCAGCTATATTCCGAGCACAGCTGTATATTAAGTTCTCTGAAGTCTTGTGACACCATGTGAAATTAGAATACATTTCGAAGAATTTTTGACCAATACTTTCACTAAACTTGAATGCAGAAAGTTGTTACGTTACTGAATTTGCTTCTAACATCATATGATGGACATTTTATGGAATGGGATCACAGCCTATATATTTTTTATAATTCTTCAACCTATTGTGATTTTGTGTTTGATGATGGACGTTCTGACACGTTGACTTTTTCAATTTGGACTTTACTTTTAAGCGATCAGGAGGAATGATGGAACGATTGGTGAAACTTCACAACCCAATAGGCTTGACTCCCCAGCACTTGAGGTCGTGAGAAAGCTTTGTTCCAAGGGTTGACGTGAATATGTATTTGCAATACAAAATATAAAGAAAAAACAAAAAAGGAACAAGAAAAATCTGACCGTTTGAGAGTTTTTGCTTCTGATCCCTTGATCTTTTGCTTTTAAAGTCACTGAAAGATAGGAAGATATAAAGAGAAGCACATAGGTACTTTAGCTAGTTTCTCTCAGACGGTGGGGAGGGCACAGGATTGAGAACAAGAAATTAGCCTCTCGGTTTTTACTGTAAGGGACATTTTTATCCATTAAGCCTCATCTTGCATAGAATGATGTTGATGAATGTATCACTCACTTCCTCTCTTAAAACCGCCTATCCTCAAAAACGATGGATACCTGGATTCCCTGGCCGAATTGTCTATAAATTTTAGTATCCATTTTAGGTTTTTACAATGGCCTACAGCTTCACATCATTAACTTTACTTCATCATCTTCATCATGTTTCAAATTTTCCATTGGTGTCAATTTTGTTAACCAAATGACGTTTCCATTGTCGCGATTGATGTTTCGTCGGTTACTTTAGACGGTTTTAAAGGAATGCTTTTATTTGTACATAATTTTGAAGATGTAGGTGTTTTTGAGAATTATTTTCGTGGACCTTTGTGCAGTTTCAAAGGTGTACTCTAGAAAAGTGCAAGATGCCAAATGAAGCACGTAGATGAACATTTTGGTGGTGAGTAGACCTTTGTTTTCATTACTAATAGATAGGTACATGTTCAATGTAACACTCAACCACATTTCGATAAAACACTGATTATTTTCTATATAGCAGTCTGAAAAAGCATCCAATTTTGGTCTATTCTTGTACCTATTGAATCTTTGGGGCTATAATATTCCAAAGAATTCTCAAATTTTCGTTGTCTATTATCGGTGTTTCGTGGGGAATCAAACACAATAAGTATATGGAATCTGGTACAGTTTAAAGCTTCCAAAACACAATACTGTACATTGACAAACATTTCAGCTGGTCGGAGTTCGAGGTCCTGATCTAGCATTAACGGATCTCGTCAATAGCGGCAGCTACATGGAAAAAGCAAAGCATCTGTTTAGGGCAAAGGAGCACTTTTCTCCACATGACCTCATTATGGTCCAGATAAGATCTAGCCTCGAGTACTGCTCACATGTTTTGGCTGCTGCTGCCTCCCCGGCTACATTATCCATGCTCGATGCTGTTCAGAGGAGGACTGTCTGACTGATCGATTACTCTTCTCTAACGGACAGTCTCGGGACCCCTTCGAATGACTTTCCCACACTAACCGTGTCGAATTTCGTACATTCACAACTGGCCGATACGACCGCTCCTTTGTCTCTAGGTATGGAGGTTGTGAAACAATGTATATGAGAAGGCTTTTCCCAGCCCTACTAACCTTGGACAGTCCAAAAATCGGTTAGCAAGGTTTATTTAAGCTTCTCAAACCAGTCAGTGCCCTGGCATTTGGGCTTCTCCCTGTGCGGCTGCTTCGATATATAGAAAAAAGGTTCGGTTATATGAAGTGATTATTAGACCTGCAATCACCTACGCATACGCGGTGTTTTCACGCCGAAGGGCATGTCAGAGCCTGCTACTCCTGCAAAATACTCGTAGAACCATATACGTACACAACCGTTACCCTATGGTACGTGTCAAATAAAACCATTCATTAGAATCGTGACAGCCCGTACCAAAATGATTGCGTGAAACATCAGGCACAACGGCGTTCCAATCAAACGGAATCGCACAACCGTCTCTTGTGTGACTCAGTAGACTAAAATTACTTTTGTAATAAGAAAATTATCCGAGTAGTCAAACTCATAGGACTAAACAAATAATGCTTAGCCTTTTTACACTATTTTACTTCTTTTCTTTGCTCTATTCATGCATTCTTTCTCGTTCTACTCCCTTTCCCTCTTGAATTTGTCTGATATCTGGGTAACCAGATCTGGCGAACTAACAGACGGAGACTTTTAACTAAAAGCAAAGGTCCAACGGACCCCTCCGGACAAACACCGGTGTATAGTCAATAACGCAATTTGGATTAATTTTCAATCTTATCACGACTACCTATCATTACTGACAAGTAACAACGTGAATTATTGACATCTCCAGCATCGTTGATACATCCATGGCATATAAATCATAAACTTATTCCGTTTTTTTCTCTTCCTAAATGAAATGATTACATCCTGGGGGGTATTTTTTGTTGTTATTTTTAAGGAATCCATCTTTGGCATAATCGCAATTACGGCATACTGTTGTAATAATACATTACGGAAAGCCGCATTATGACTCACAAAAAGTGGACTAAGATAATTATTTGATAATTACTGTTTTTGTATCAAGTTGAGAGAGATATCGGCGGCATGACGAGAAATGCTAAAATACTACTGTTTGCGGTATGGGATCGACTCCGTATTATGAAAATGCTATGCTGGTGCAGGTGGACTTCGCTCCAAAGGAAGAATAAGCAAAGATGCCAAGATGGCTCAGCACATAATAGTTTTGAATTTGAGAGATGTGACTGAAAACACGAGAAATGATAAAAATACCTCTTGCGGAACGGTCCTAGAAATCCTATGCAGATGGACTTTGCTCCAAAAGCATTATGAGTTGAAAAGGATGCTGAGATGATCAAGTTTGTATATACTTGCGGTTTACCATAAACTATACTTCCAGAAGATGAATAGAATGACAAAATATGTTAGACTTTAATGCACGGAAGCCTTTATTAGGCCGTATTAAAGAACCCTTTAACCCAATAGTCTTAAAATCCAGTCAAAATAAAAGTTAGGTTATCCAAAATTCTTACAAAGCTGAAAATTGGTACCGACCTTGCATACATTATTATGAATAATATGTCGAAGCTTCTCATATATCCTTCAGGGAGCGGAACCTTGTTTTATTGGGTTGAAATGAGTACCACAAAAATACCTTATACAAAAACTGTAGAGAATACGACAATCTATAAAAGTTGTTCAAGTACTTTCATTCCTTGAGTCACCTCTTTTATTCCTGCTCTTATGCGGCATATATTTTGTGTACAACAATCTATAAAAGTTGTTCAAGTACTTTTATTCCTTGAGTCACCTATTTCATTCCTTGCTCTTATGCGGCATATATTTTGTGTATAACAATCTATAAAAGTTGTTCAAGTACTTTTATTTCGTGAGTCACTCACCCCTTTCATTCTTTGGGTACTCTTCTGCTCTTATGCGGCATATATTTTGTGTACGCCATCGACCGTTCCACATGCATATTTATGTGGAGGCATTGATGAATGCGACTTATACTGAAATACTTATCACTTATACTGGGCGTGTTAAAAACAGTGTCAATAGTTTTTCTAAGAGCTACCAAAGGATTGGGTACAAGACAATTTAACGCAAAATGCTTGAAAACTCAAAGAAAGAAGGTAATTGTATTGATCCGTACCATCCAAACACATCCTGGTCTGCTTATGGACTCAAAATGAACAAATGTGAATCGAATTTTTGGAAAAAAAATCATTCACACTCGAAACTTGTATCATGCCTTTAACATGTTATCAGAATTGATAGCTTTCGTCCGTCGTTGGAATGCAAAACTTTGTATTGGAGGTAACATGTCAAGATTATAATTTTTTAGGCAAATATCTATAAAACTTGGCCAGTTGCATTTTTGTGAGTCGCTGCTCATGCGTTCCTTGATCTATAGAATCTAAGACACTGCCACGGCTCATACGCGGCATGTTTTATGTATACATTATTGATTGTTTGATATGAAAGCAATGGTATGCGCTAGACGTACTAACATATGTACATGTACATGTCAGCTATAAAGGTTGTATGTCTCCGTAAAACAAATGCAAGAAGAGCTGTAATAACATCTGTAAGCTGAAGGTGAAAATGATGAGGAAGATAACTGATGAATTCTAAATCTTTTTGTCAATAAACGTTTATAGGAGTTTGATGAAACTTTTGGATCATGGAGCATGCCTTCTGGGGAAACAACGTTAAAAATGAGCCAGGTATACTACCTCATAGGTGGTGTGGACATGTGTAGATATTATTCAGAATACTTGTATCAACTTTAAAAACCCCAATAAGAATTGCGTAACGGTCAGCAGGCAAAAATCTGAACAACTTATGTAGAAAACATAATTTGGGAAAAACACTATTGTCGATTGAACAGTGACAACGACTACTGTTGTTATTCAGCCGATGATTAAAAGACACGTGAGCAGAGTTTACAAGATATTTATGTCCAGGCGCATGCTGGATGCTGAACGCAGATACTTTTCCGCGTTATGGTTTTAATATTTCATCTTCTAATATTTTCTATTAGAGAAAAATAGATTTTCCTCACCCCATTGACGAATAATTTACAAAAATACCTCATAGGTGACAAGTTATACGGAAACAGTGCCACAAACTTCATATAACTGTTTTTTATGATGACTGGGACAAAAAATATGCTATAATATTTTCATCACATTCGATCTATAGTTTTAAGACCGCATAAACACCGAATCACAAAAAAGTAATTTGGTGTGGTGTTAGTTTTGTGGTTAGCCATACCGCTTCAGAAAAATATAAAAAATGGTAATTTTGACAAGTAACCTCCAATAGAGAATTTTGAACAAAATTCCACTTCCCTTACGTCCATTTTGAATGCACCTTAAGCAGGCCAGGGTGGGTTTGAATATTAACTTATTTTTTGAGTTTTCAAGAATTTTTCGTTCAATTGCTTTGTAATCAAATCTTTGATTGATCATGGAACGATATTCTAGACAAATCACAGACTTTCTTTGACACACCCTGTATAAGTTGTTTTTGATATTTCAACCTAAAAAACAAGGTTCCGCTCCAAGGATATATGAGGAGTCTTGATATAGTGTTTATTCATAATGGTTTATTTAAGGTTTGTACCAACTTTCAGCTTTGTGAGAATTCTTGCAAACCCATTATGTTTTTTGCTGTATTTTGTCTGGGCTATTAGCTCTCGTGACTTTTGGCTGACAAGCAACTTACAGTCATGCATATTACGGAATGTAACTTAACCTAATTCTAGTCAATTTAGTGGTCGCTTTAAAACATATAATTTCCGATTTTTTTTCGATATTATTTGGTACAAGTATGATTGGAATATGTCTTAATAAGAATTGGAGTGTCCGTCTTCCTACAGCGTTTGCGACATACAGTCTGCCGATTGAAAACAATTCAAACACCGTAAACCCATTAGGCTGGGTGAAGAAATATAGGCGATAATTTGTAAAATAAAAAACTCAGGTTCGATTATGATAAAGAGCTTGAAAGTCTCCGCCACCAAAATCTTATATTTCCCGATTATATGTAAAATTCTGCTGTAATGTTTTTTATTAATAGAAACAGTTTATACAGGCGGTAAATAAAGTGTCCTAATCAAACTAAATAGGCCACTACTAGAACGATTCCAAAACGAAACCGTTATACCTCCAGGGTGGACCAATAGCTCCGTAACG